TAGCTGCCCTGTTAAGCTTCCTTATGTGGTAGCTCTGTGCTTCGTTTACTTAGCTAGGTGAAGGCAGTGCTCTCGCTCCCCGCTCCCTCTGCTAGTAGCTTTGCGCTTTCGTTTACTCAGCTAGGTGAAGGCAGTGCTCTCGCTCCCCGCTCCCTCTGCTAAGTAACGCGGGTGTAGGACATTACACCCCTCTCGTGTTCGGCGAGTAGGAGCACGGCTCTACTCCTTCCGTTCAGCAGGTAACTGGTGAAGGCTGTGTTCTCGCACCCCGCTCCCGGTTACGCTGCATCTGGCTACCTACATGATGGCTCATCCATGTAGCGCCTGTATGGCTTCTCTCGAGCCCGAGGATGGCCACGACCGCTGCCCCTCTTGCCTTGGTCTCGAGCATTTGAGGGAGGGTCTCACGCAGGACGCCTGCATGAACTGTAGCTGCATGCCTTGGGCGCTTAGAGCGGCCAGAGTCGCAGAGGTGGAGCGTCTAGCAGCAGCCAACGGACACCTCTCCTTGTCGCATCTTCCCCCAGGTCAGTTTGGCCGTTCCCGGCGACCCGAGGGAGCGATGGCTACGGGTTCGCCCCCCAACAGGCTGTCCTCTAAGGTGGATCGGTTAGCCGCCGACATGGACATGATGAAGTCGCTCCTCTTAGCCCTTCAAACAGGGGCCGGTATAGGGGCTGCTGGCTTGCCGCCTGCCCCTCCTTCGGTTGCCGCACCTCTGCATGAGGATGCCATGTCACTAGCGGCCTCGGCTAACCTCTTCAATGAAGAGGTGGAGGACGAGGCCCCGCTCACTCCCGGGGAGGCTTCCCACTCCTCTGCTCAAGGCTCTCTGCAGGGCGTGGAGGACGCCTCCATGGCGGCCATTATTCGTGCGGCCCTGGCACACTTGCAGCTTCCGGTTCCGCAGGCCGACGCGGCTCAGGCTAGCGCCTTCTTCAGGCGTAGCCCTACCCCTGTCCCCCTCACTGTTCCTCCTTCGGAGGAGTACCTGAGGGAGCTCCATGCATGCTGGAGAGACACCAAGGCCCTCTCCCGCTTCAGCTCTGATGCCCGGACCCTGGCTGCCATGCAGGATCCGGCGAGGGTTGGGCTGGGTCGCAAGCCACCCATCGAGCCTGCCATCGCCTCCCTGATTCTGGCTCCTGATGAGGCCCTAAGGCCTGATGCCAGGTGCCCTCGGCCTCAGTGCAGGGTCACTGACGAACTGCTCTGTAAGGCCTACGACGCAGCGGCACGCATGGGTCGTATCGGGAACTCTCTCTCCCATCTAATGCTGGCCGCCTCCGCCTCTCTGCAGCAGGCTCCGGCTGAGCCTTCTTTGCTGGGCCTCAGTGACGCTTCACTGCAGGCCTTTGCCCTAATGACTAGGGAATTGGGACGAGTTATGTCCCTACTGGTGCAGACTCGACGCCAGGTTTGGCTGGCTCAGTCACCACTAACGGAGACATGTAGGAGTGTCCTCCGCGGCGTGCCGGTCGAACCAGGGGAGCTGTTTGGAGCAGCTGCCCTAGCGGCACTAGAGCGTGCTGCCCAAGCTAGACAGACCAGGCAGCAGCTCTCGGGTCTACGTAGGCCGGGTCTACTCCCAGCAGGCCCAGGGGCCCCTCTAGCAGCCGCACTCTGCTACTGGCTTTCAGTGGTGGTCTGCGGAGGTCCCAGCGGTCTACTCAACCGCCTCCTAATGACTTTCGTGCCCCCGGTCGCCAGCCCTCTAGGCAGCCCTCTAGGCAGCCCCGTGCCCCACAGCCTTACCGCCGCCCTGAAGTCCCGGGGCCGGTCGTCGGCTGCTTTTCCCAGCAGCAGCTCAGCTACTGGGCTGCCTGTACTACCGACCCTTGGGTGGTTTCCACCCTAACCCAGGGATACGAATTGCAGTTTCGACGCCGGCCCCTAGCCTTCGGCCGGGTCAAGATGACAGTTGTCAGCGACCCGGCGAAGGCCTTAGCTCTGGCCCAAGAGCTGTCCGTCCTCTTGGCCAAGGGCGCAATCGAGCCAGTGGACCCCCTGCTTCAGTCCGGGGGGTTCTATTCGGCGTACTTTCTGGTGAGCAAGAAAGTCGGCGGATTTCGTCCAGTACTGGACCTCAGAGGAATCAACAGATTCCTGAGGGTGCTGCCCTTCCACATGCTGACCACAGCACCCTCTCTCCAAGGGTGTTTACCAGGGTCGTGGCGGCAGCTCTCGCACCCCTGCAGGCACAGGGCATGAAGGTCCTGCCGTACCTAGACGACTGGCTGGTTTGTGCGCTGTCCCGGTCCCAAGTGGCCCAGGATACGGCGCGCCTCTTATGTCATGTAGCCCGGTTGGGCCTGACAGTAAACACCGGGAAGAGCTGCCTGGTCCCCTCCCAACGGGTCACTTACCTGGGGTTGGTCCTAGATTCGGTCGCCATGAGGGCCTGCCTGACACCTCGTCGTGTGGACGACATTTCCCACCTTCTCCCCATCTTCAGGCTGGGCAAGAATGTGCCTTACATTCAGTTCCTCCGGCTCTTGGGCAGACTGACGGCTGCCTCAGCCGTTGTGCCCTTAGGTCTGCTGTCGCTGCGCCCTATGCAGATATGGCTGAACAGCCTTCACTTGGACGCCAAGTGGCACAGGCACAGGAAGGTCAGGGTGTCGCGCCAGTGCCTTCACTCTCTGTCACGCTGGAGAAACAGGGCCTATCTTCTGATGGGCGCGCCCATGGGCGCCATCCCATCCCGCCGGGAGACTGTCACTGTAGATGCATGTCTCTCAGGGTGGGGTGCGGTGTGGCAGGGCAGGACTGTTCAGGGTCTGTGGTCCGCCCAGGAAGGTGCATATCACATCAACGTGCTAGAGCTTCGCGCTGTGCTGCTTGCGCTCAGGCACTTTTTACCCCAACTGACGGACAGGCATGTGCTTGTTCGTTTGGACAACATGTCCGCGGTTTCCCAGATCAACCACCAGGGGGGCACCAGGTCCGCACAGCTGCTCCGGGTTTCACAGAGCCTCTTGTCTTGGGCGTCTCCCCGCTTGGTCAGCCTGCGGGCAGTCTTTCTACCAGGGGACCAAAATCAGGTGGCAGATTTCCTCTCTCGGCACAAACCTCCACCAGGGGAGTGGAGGCTTCACCCAGAAGTGGTGGAGACAATCTGGAGCCTTTTCGGCAGGGCCGAGGTGGACCTCTTTGCCTCGGAGGAGTCGAGGCACTGCCCCCTCTGGTTCTCCTGGGCAGAGGTGACCAGCCCAATGGGGCAGGACGCTCTGGCACACGACTGGCCAGACAGTCTCCTGTACGCCTTCCCGCCGCAGCCGCTGTTATTACAGACGCTTCAGAGGGTCCTTACTCAGGGGCACAGGCTCCTTCTGGTCGCCCCCCGCTGGCCGGGGAGAGTTTGGTTCCCGCTGCTACGCAGTCTCTGCTGCGGCCCACCATGGCGCCTCCCCGACAGGAAGGACCTTCTGTCACAGCTCAGGGGTCAGATCTGGCATCCCGACCCTCACCGCCTTCAGCTCTGGGCTTGGCCTCTGCGGGGCCCAACCCACTGTTGAACGCTTTTTCGGCATCGGTCAGGGAAACTATCCTGAATGCCAGAGCACCATCCACTCGAGCACAGTACGAGTGCAAATGGAAGCTCTTCTCCCACTGGTGTTTGGGTAAGGCTGAGAATCCGGGGCATTGCTCTGTGGCCACCATTCTGGAGTTCCTGCAGTCCCTTCTGGATAGTGGACGTTCTCACTCCACTTTGAAGGTATATACGGCTGCTATCTCTGCCCAACATGTCGGGGTCGACGGCGCCACGGTGGGGCGCCACAGGTCGGTGTCCCTCTTCCTGAGAGGGGCCTTACGGCAGCGTCCCCCTAGTACCCCGAGGGCTCCGGCTTGGGACCTGCCCCTAGTGCTAGATGCCCTATCATCTCCTCCCTTCGAGCCCCTGGCCCAGGTGGGGCTTAAGTGGCTGTCCTTGAAGGCAGCATTTCTGCTTGCCATAACCTCAGGGAAGCGAGTTGGGGAGTTGCATGCCCTCTCCGTGAGCGATACATGCCTGAGGTGGAACTCCGATGGCTCGGGTGTTGCCCTCTGGCCGAATGTGGCGTTCCTGCCCAAGGTGCTTCCACTTGCCCACTCCAATCGGCCCATCAAGCTGGCACGCTTTAACGTCCCACAGGAGAGCCGCACGCCCGAGTTGCTGTGCCCTGTGCGTGCCCTAAGAGCGTATGTTGATGCTACGGCCTGTGTACGGCAGTCAGAGCAGCTCTTCGTTTGCCATGGCGGCATTAGGAAGGGTTGTGCTCTCTCCAAGCAGCGGCTGTCCCACTGGGTTGTTGATACAATCGCACATGCCTATGGGGCCAGTGGCCACCCCCTGCGGGGGACACACATACATTGTCATCTACTTTAGAATCACCGGAAAAGTCTGCGAGAGTGTGATTTGAGCTTAAGAAGCAGTCCTGAAGAACCATCATCGCAGGAAAACAAAAAAGACAAACATATTTTGTCGAGCAGATTGTCTGTGACAAGGCAACCGGTAATTGTTTGTGTAACACATCCGAACCTTTACCATATCCATGCTTTAATTTTCACTATGATAGTATTTACTGTAATGTGATACATGTGCACAGTTGGTATATTCTTTTCATTCATTTTTTAATTAAGCTAACTGGTTGACCTTGACAGTTTTCATGAAATGTTGTGAATATTGTATCCGCTGAATATACCCTTGTGAGCAGACTGCAGGCTGTTTATGAATTGTACTCTGCGGCTGTCATGTGGATGTTGTGACTGTCAGTATAAATATATTTCATGAATATTAAGACGGAGGTTACGTTTAGAGAACAGTTTCCCTCCTGTACTGCTGCACCGCACAGTCTGAGTGTGTTTCATCTCAGAGTGTGTGCCAGTAGGCGGTGAAGTTTTCTGTGTGTTGGCTCACACTGCGCTGGCAGACTGGGATGTTTCTGTCTGTGAACTGTGAATTAGCGTGTGTGCGTGCGTGCTTCACCATTCATTATAGAGAATCAGAGAGACGTACATTAATTTAACAACCTTTAATTTTTTCTCCATTTTCAATATTTCACAATGAAAAATCAGTGTTCATGTAACCATGTTTGCATATCCACATGAAGTATGACAATACATAATCACTTCTGGACAAGCCTTATTCAATTTCTCTTTTTTTTTTTTATCCATTTCTTTCGGAAACAACAAAGTTTATACGGTAACACAGAGTACAAATGGGAACTGGGGCAAAGGGGAGTATGGGTAAATACACAGCACAACCAGAAAGAGCATAGAGCAAAATGACACAACAGGATGACAGAAAAACACACGTAATAATAAAGCCCAAAATAATAACGGAATATAATAGAAAATAACAATATTAATAAAATAATAATAACATAATAACAGCAGTATACAAGAGATTAAAGACAACTTTACATTTATACATAGTGGCCAGAGGCAGGCACCAGGAAGTGAAACAGTTAAACTTGTACAGACTGGATGATCTACGGTAGCTAACACGACTCAGTGCAGGGGGGAGTGGGCTCGTAAAGACGTCGGCCAAAGTGGGGACGAGGGACAACACAATAAAGAGGCACCTTATGAAGAGAGAGCAGCTTTGCTGGTTTTTCGACGGGAGCCATTTTGTTTATTAAACAGACCATATTTGTCTGGAAATGAAGATGTATTGATGTTTCGTTGAGCAGCCGGCAGGCGTTTGCCTTGTGCTTGTCAGGTTTTGCAAACAGCAAAGTGTGACTACATGGCCTTGACTGATATGCATTAGATAAATGGCCTTGACTATTTCAACAGCTCACCTGAATGAGGCCCCCGATCTGATCCATCAATACAAAAAAAAAAATTGTACCTTTCTTTTTTTTATTTTCTTCTTTTTCTATACAAGTTGTGGTTCATGTTAAAAAAAATCTTAGAGGCATTTTCTAGACAAAAAGCGACTGTACAAGGTGTCTCATCAAGGGAAAGAAAACCTTTTGAGTCTGCGACTTCGTCATCCCACTGCTTTATTTTTTGTTGTTTTCTGCCACATTTTTCTTCTTAAAATATATTTTCCATTTATGCAAATGTATGTCACAGTAATATACAATCTAAGTGCTTCAGAAATGAAGGGGAACTTGTGTGTGATTGTGGTCAGACAGTGGGGGCGCAAATAGTACAGGTGTGTGTGTTCAGAGGGAGGCAACTCTTTGCCGAAAAGGGAGATGCTAAAGGAGGGATGCGTATTCTTTGGTCAGAGGATTGTTCCCGTAATGCCACAATAAACGCTGGCCAGCCACCAGGGCAGTTTACAAAAATGAATGATGTTTGAATTTTCCATAAGGGAAATACCCCAGACTCCAGCTCTGGAGAGTTGCCTTCCTAATTAAGTGATCTACCAAATAGGATGGACAGGTAGGACAGATTACAGGGAAGAGGAACACAGTGAAACTTTGTGAAATCACATCCAAACTGCACCTCGGGCAGATCACCGGCTCTTCTCCGTGTCGTAGGGTGGCAATGTTAGTTATTGTGGTATTGGTGACAGAAAAAAGTCCCAAGTGTCCTTACTCTTGCCTCTTATTGGGCCCACCTCTGCTACTGGATCCCTTTTTCCCTCCCTCCTTTTTAGCCTCCTCCCTCTCATTCAGAGAGTTGATCTGTCCCGCACACTCAGTGTCATTGTCCACCTCCTTGCTCTCTCCGTTCATCTGGGAGCTGTGAGGGTTGCTGGGCAGAGCTAAGTAGGGGTGCTGAGGCAAAGTGGGAGAGGGGGACGTGGACATGTTGACGGTTCCCTCCATGTGCATCCCCGCTGCCCCGTTGGTCAGGGCTCTGTACTTGAGGCGGAGCTTGTGGGGCAGGGCGGTGCCTTTGTACTCGGCTTGGAGCTCGCTGTGTGAGCTTGGAACTCCAGCCTCCTTCTGATGGTAGCTGCTGATGTCTGAGGAGGACGAGCAGGGGGACTCGTCATCCGTGGAGCCCTCCTTGTCAGAGCTCCGAGGTTCCCCGTCACTGGAGGAGGTGTCTTTAGTGGAAGAGTTCTCCTGGTAGAAGCCGCCTGCTCGTGGGCCTCCCTCGTACGTGAGAACCGGGGGCTCTTCGTCCAGTGTGTTGAGGTAGCCGTTGTGCTGTGGGAAGGAGGACTCACCCTCCTCCGTGTTGCGGGTCAGATCAGGGGCGAAGGGGTTCTGTTGGCTTTGCTGCAGACCGCCCTCCTGCCCCTGGTAGCTGTAGTGAAGGTGGCTCTCGCGCTGTTGTTGCGTGTCGGGGTTGTACCTCTGCTGTACGTCATCTGTGGACTCAGCACGACCTTCGGTGTAATCGTACTGAGGTGAATCCATGGTCTTTGTCCTCTCCAGCTTCTCAGCGACCTCTGTGATGTCTGAGAACTTGGAGGTGGAGGAGTGCTGCTGGGGTCTGCTCGGCTGCTCCTCGGCCCGCTGGGTGTCCATTGGGTAACAGCCGCTGCTGGAGCGGTACAGGATGACGCTCCTCTGCGCGGAGGTGGCCTGAGGAGCTGGACTGGAGGCCTTTACGTGGCACTGCTGCTGCTGCTGCTGCTGCTGCTGGTGGTGCTGGTAGTCCATGGCACTTTCAGCCAATGGGGCGTTCTGCTGGTGTGGAGAAACCAGGGCAGTGTGGTTGCCATGGTAAGCTCCATTCTGCAAACCATTGGGCATCGCCTTGCTTTCCAGGCCGGCCATCTCCATAGTTGCGGGCTCCGTCTTTATGTTGAAGCCCATTGGTTCTGGGCTGTCACTGGAGGAGTCGTCAGACATGTCGGAGATGGAGCCCCGTGGAGAGTACTGGTGGAGCGCGTTGTGGTGCTCGCCGCGGCCCGACTGTTCGGTTTCAGACGAGTCTGAGTTCAGCATCACCTGGGATGCGCTGGAGTAGCCGCTGCTTGAGAGGTAGGGGTTGGGGGTGCCGTTGCCGCTCCCACTACTACTGTTGACACAAGCAGCGCTGTTGGATAACTGCTGACTTTTCTCCATGTAGGATGCCGTGCTGATGAGGCCGAAGCGCAACTTGAGCTGAAGGAGCTCCGTCTTTATGCGAACATTCTCCTCGTTCAGCGCCATGACGCGGTTCTCCAGCACCATGTCGTTGAGGCGCCGCTTTTCCCTTGAGCGCTTGGCTGCTTCATTGTTCTTCCTTCGCTTTTCCCAATAGGAAGCATCTTTCTTCTCGTCGGAAATGAACTCTCGCTTGCGACGGCTACTCGCATTGGACTTGGAACCTTTAGACTGGCGGCTGCTCCGCGGTCCTTCTTCCGGAGAAGCGGATCGGATGCTGCCGCTGTAGGAGGAAAAATTGTCGACATCCATTGCATTCTTGTTGCTGGTTGATGGGAGGTGTAGACCCAGACTTTCCATTTTTTCCTAGCTGTTGGCCAGAGTGTAACTCTAGCAAAGGGGGAAAGGGAAAATTCAAAACAAGATGAGACGACTGCTTTGTTGCTGAGGACTAAGATGCAGGATCTGCAAAAATGTCTTGATGAGGTTTTTTTGTTCCTTGAAGGGATAGCCTCATTGATTTCTGTTATTGTTCAACGTTCAAGTGTCCATATTCGCCAGGAAGATTAAAAAGAGGTGGAACTTCAGAAAAACCTCAGACATTGGACCAGTGGTCTGAACGGGGAAAGACAAAAAAGAAGTAGGTTTGTTTTCGATCAAAGAGTCTTTCAGCTGTGATCTCCTCAGTCTCTGGAGTCTTGTTGGAGTGGATTTTGACTTTATCTTCCTCAATCTTTAGCAGAGCAGTGATGTCTGTCAGGCTGCTGCTCTCAGTGTCTTACGGAGGATGTAGGTCAGTCCGTCCACTTTGGGGGCTCCCTGAGGATCCGTTTCAGTGCTTCTGTTTGCTGACCACTTACTGAGAGAAAAGAGGGAGGGGAGAGAGAGCATCAGATTGGATGTAAAACCACTCAAATTCATAGTAGCATATATTTACATTTCAGTGAAATTAGACTCATGAACTGTAGTACAAAGTAGGGGTCGACCGATTATCGGCCTGGCCGATTATCGAGGCCAATATTCCGCATATTACAGATTATTGGTATCGGCCTTTTTTTTTATCAAATTGCCGATACAACTTTGGCTCTGATGCGGCCGTTTCTCTGGCTGCAGTCACCACTGTTCACGAGCAATGTCCCGCCCACAGCGCTATCTGATAGGCTATTACTGAAGTGTCAATCAACACTGAAGATTTTCCGGGCGGGAGCCAGCCAGAGAGGTGGGACCTTCTCAGATTACAGGCAGGTGCGAAGAACGCAGACACAGACAGAGGCAAGCAGCAGCAGTGAGCGGTGTTTCAAAGGGAAATCAGTTGAAAGCCAAAGTTCAACATCCCAATCCCCTATGCTGAAGTTGCAAGTTGCAAAAACACCACGATCTTATGATCCAATTCTATCAGTTTCCCAGTTACAAAGGGACCGGGGGGGGGGGGTAGCGTCTCGCGTCTCGCAGCGGAGAAACTGTGACGTGCTGGGACGACTGTGACGGCTGCTAGTGGAGCCTCGCAGCAACTCTGCTTTCTGCACCACAATCTGGTGCTGCTGAATTGGGACTACTAAATGAGTGAGACTCAAATATCAGAAGTTCAGAACAAGTTTTAGTAGTTTTTATTTTTACTTCATTTACTTTACTCAGGGTCACAGAGAGGAAACCAGTTTTAAGATGTTGAAAAGTTCATTAAACATAAAAAGGCATTTCAAAGAAGTTGTGTTATTCTACATTTTGACACCAAGATTTTCTGATTTTACTGCAAATGTATATCGGTTCCAAATATCGGTTATCGGTCTCCTTGATTACTAATAATCGGTATCGGTATTGGCCTTGAAAAAGCCATATCGGTCGATACCTAGTACAAAGCTTTAGTTTGGGTCCCTTGCATGTAAGGGATCAATACACAGTGTGTCATCACACACACGCTGCTGCGGCTGGGATTAAACTGCAGAGCTATTGTGTAAGAAGGGGCACTGGCATAGTCACATAACAGGACTAAAAAAGGCTGACCTGGAGCCAGCTCTGCAGAGACTGACAGATAAAGAGCTGAGGGACGGAGATAGGATGAATCAAAACCATTATGATATATAACTGCAATTATGGTACAGTACATTAAAAATACTTATGTTCACATTTCTGCTTCTAAATTATATTTTATAAAATAAATCACAAGGGAGCAGATTTAAAGAAATGCATCAAACTCAGGAGATCTCCGGCAATGCCTTTGTTGTAGTAGCCGTCACACTGTGCGAAATTACACAACTCCCCAGGCTGTTGCTGAACATCCTTACGCAGTGTCAAAATAGGTAACAGCAGGAAGCCTCGCTCACCAAACATGTCTTGCGATACCCACGCCGCTTAAACGCAGCACAGAGGGATGTTGACGACAGTCCGGCGTTACGTAATACTTAGATCTGCACTTGTTTTCGGCCACATGCTTCTGGTTCTCCTGCACTGCACAGCTGATATGCGGTGGTAATTAATAACACATCACTACACTGAACCCGGAGACTGGTAAACAGGAAAACATATTTTTTGATGACACACACAGGGAAATTATCTAGGTCACTGTGCCTCTGGGTAACAATGACTCCTGCGGTGTCGATTTGCATGCATAGCACTGGAGTTAGCACAAATATTAACTTTTATCATCACTCGATTGTTTTATTACGTAATCATCACGGTTTTCGGAGCCCCCCCCCCAAATTGGAAACTGGAATCATTGCAGCACAATTACAGTTTCATGGAAGCTACGTTATGTTTAGTGATTTACTAGTCTCACCACTTCTGTTGCATTTAAAGATTGTCAACTCTAATGCAAAATTTCACATTTTGAATATTGAAATAATACAAGAAGCACAAGTATGCATATGGCTATTGGTACAGGAGCAGTATTAAGTATTTGCATTTTACTATTGTAGCCTTTGCTGCACCCTTTTTCATCCAGTATATCTCAAAAACTACGGTTCAAATTAAATATAATATACATCAGTTAAAGTATCTTATAACAGATTCCATGACCAGTCGATATTTCTGTCGGGACTTTGGTTTTTCATTTTGAGAGCTTTAATTTCAAACTTCAGACAAGTATAGTTGCAGAGGAATTTGGAAGCTTTGTTTAGGAAACACCAAGCAGCTACTAAATCCCATTTGTGCTGCCATATTTGTCTGATATCTTTCATGGTGTGAGCAGAGAAAGCAGATCTGAACAAAGAAACCCTGCCGACGTCTTCAATTATTTCAACTGTGCTGTGATGGCAGGAGAGCTAAACAAACTCCTTATCCCAAAGAGAGTTGAACAAAGGTACTTGAGTTAAACAAAACTGACTCACATCGACCTTCTTTCACTACGCTGCAGTGTATTGTTCCCTAATGAAAAGCCACTTACTTCTCACCATCGAGTAAATGCTACATAGCTATTTACTATCAAATATATCGTAAGATTATTTAAATCAAGTCTTTTCTTTCCTCGCAGTCAATGACCCCGTTACATAATCTCATTTTTATAAAATCCGCATTGAGACCTTTGAACAGCTCGACTTCGGCCCTGAATAATTAACCATTTGTTTACTCATGTCTGTTATGTTGTAACTGAAAGTCTATGCTGCAGGCTATTCTTCAAATTGAATTTACCCTTCAGTGCCAAAACAAGGATTTCACCGTCTCCTCCTCTCAAAGAACTGGAGTAAAGCTACACCATTTGGGAAGGGATTTGGACACAACCACCAACAGATGTGGAAAAATGTGGGGTCAGCCCCTCCCTCTCTCACTAACCCTGAATATTTTTGAATAAAGACTTTCAAGGGAGGGAGGAGGCGTGAAACAAAGGCGGCGGGAAGGAAGCGTGCATACTGTACGTCTGCGTTGTCCCACTGACCTAGAAACGACGCTAAGCAGTAAACACTCCTCCTGTCTTTGACGGTGCGCCATTAAAATAGGTCAGTGGGGAGGGAGGCCAGGAGAGGAAAGTAAGGGAGTAACAGAGTGCACTCTAAAAATAGAGGGAGGTGAGGGGGGGAGCAGAAGAGCGATGGGGTGACTTCAGTTTGTGGAAAGCAGAGGAATTGTACAGAATTTGCAGCAGGAGGGATAAAAGGGACAAACTCCAATACGTCATCTGATTATGAAGCACCGGTGATCTTCATGAAACATTAATCCCGGCTCTTGGAAGACGCCTTGTGCAGCGCGGAGCGATATGAATCAATAGCAGATGAACGTCGGTAGGGAGAGATAGGGAGATGGTGTTGACGTCAGAGCACACACCCTTCTCTGCAGCCAAATTCACACATAACAGAATCTCTCTCAGGACTGCATGGGGAGGGGCTGCCGTGGCTGCTCGTAACGTACGTGCTCTGAATTTCTCTTGTTGCAGAGCAAAGCTTGTGTAACGTGTGCATATTACATCGCAGCAGAAGCTACAGGTTAACTGGCCGTGAATGCTCTGCTAACTCCCCTATTTAACCTCCTCTATGTGCTCTGAACAAAGGCCAATACTTGAGCTACACAAAAAAGGGATTCTGGATATGGTACAATGTCTAATTGGCTTTTTCTGCAGAGGCTAATTTCCCCATTTAAACCAATGATTAACTGCGGCCACTGTAAGCCGTCTGTTTTCAGTCTTTCTGGCAGTGGAAAACACAGGTCTGAAGTAGTTCCCAGGCACTTGCCGCTCGGGGAGGAATGCCTCACCTCTGACCTCCTCTGAGGCAAGTGTGAGTAAAACGCTTGGCATCCTCTTCCCCTCCTCCATCCTTTAAATGATCCAACACCACACACGTGGAGGGGGCCCCTAGCTAGGAGCCTCCATTTTGCCACAGAGCTTTTTGTGTCAAGAAACACAACTAGCAGACAGGAATCCAGACATTCCAGGTCAGTCAGTCATCGCTGAGGGCCATTTAACACTTCCTATTAGCAATACACTTCTACCTCCACTAGTGACAGAACACTAGATCTTCCAGATGAATGCACATGTTTCCAGATAAACAGGATCTTATGATATTTTCAATCGTCTATAACACAATTGAGTTTAGCAACCTGAATTCCCCCTACGGCATTAAAAAAAGTATGCCTTCCTTCATAAAGTCTGTTAGTGTTTTGAAGATGACTTGGTCAATTAGTGACATGTGACCCATATTTTAAAAGCTTCTTTTTATTTAACACTAATGAATAGACACTAAAGTTTAACAAACTAGGTCGCTGTGGTAACTAAAGGCTGTATGAATGAGTCCACAGTGTGCCCTGTTTCCTCATGTGTCTCCTCACCCAGATTCAGGTCTGACCTACATTCAGAGGTCTGGCTGGGAACGGAGCAAAGCAGACGGCTCTGAAACCAGACCAGCTGGCAGCGGCGGACTATAGGAGCTCACCAGAACTCTAGCCCGGCCTCGCCAGACAGGGGCTTCCATGCATTACATCACATCCTGGATGTTCACTTGTTATTCTAATTTCAGTCACGCAAAGACAAAAGAAAACATACAATCTGGTTCACTTCTGCTTTTTTTCTTTGTTCCACGTTTTCTCTTGGAGGAGACAGACTGAGAAAGTTAAAAATAACTCACAGACACTCAACAGCTGTGTGGCGTCATTGATGAAAGCATTTTTTTAAATATCCATGTGCTTTAGGAAAAGGCATTTGGTGTTAACTGTGGTATGAATGATGGGAAAAGGGAGCAGGGTGGTGTAAAGGGGAATCAATTACAGGCCCCTGTGTGTCCCAGGAGAGAGCTGCTGTTTATTGCTTCTCCCCGCTGTGTGCTGGTTATGTCATACCCTCCAACTCCCTCAAAGCATTGCTCTGTGCTTCACTTAACACAACTCATGAGGACAAGAAAAAAAGAAATCACCCAGTGACTCACTTTGAATGAAAAAAACAGACGTTTTGTAACTGTTCTCTCCTTTGAACTTGAACACCTACAAATGTTGAAAAATATTCAGCACATGTTGAGAAAGGGAAGTTTCAAAGACACATAAATATGAAGCAAAAACATTATTTAGTTTTTTAATATATTACGTTGCATGTGTTCCCCCTGTAGTACTCTGTTATACTCCACAATGTTTAAAAACATATATATATATATATTTACATTTACACCTGAAGTCCATCCTGAAAACATTATTTGTGCATTTAATCTCTTTGTATATGTTCTACCTCCACTATGACATGAGTTTCACCTACATTTATTCAAATGTGGCATTAGCACTACCCTTTGTGCTTACCCATGCTTTAAACCAGACATGTGATTGCATCAGTCGACAGCCAAAAATACTATTGAGCGATCTAATCGATCAAAGGGATGTAGTGACCTACATATGGACGACATTCATAAAGCCTACAATCCGCAGCACGCCACGTGCAGGAGCTAATACAGTGTAGTATGCTACCCTGTGTGTCTGCATTAACCAGACAACACACAGCCAGCTCTGCCCCCATTCCCTGGAAAACACCACCGTAGAGGAAATAACCTCGCCTTGACATTGAGCACACAACGTGGGATACGGCCAACCACGTTTCCCAAATATTTTACATGTTTCGTGTAAATAACAATGAACAATGCGACAAAAACGGCAACAAAAGTAGCACATTAGCGCCGGGAGAGCCGTGTTTAACGTTACAAAAGCGACCGCAAACGTCTCAAAGTCACGGCAGAGCCGAGAGTCGCCATGTGAACAATGACCGGCCACGAGCATCATGTCCTCACCTCAACACACCGCGGAAACACCTATATTACCATGAATGAAATACATAAACGGAGATAGAAACAGACAAAGACAAAAAGCAGCCTTGCGCTCAGTCATAACATACCTCTCCGTGTCCTAGAGGGGGGAGAAAGATTCCGGCTTCACCGACACAAAGCTGTCTCGCTCCCGTTTCCTCCTTTTCCTTGCGCGTGTGGAAGAAACCTCCCAAAATAGCCGAAAAGTTTTCGTCTCCGTCTTCTGTCGCAGCTCGGCTGAGTGGCGGTGTGGTGAGAGGCTGTGCTGGATGCTGTTTCTGTCTCTTGGCTCTGGCTGCCTGTGTGTTGTGCGCTGCCGGACCCTTTGCTCCAGTTTCTCCGGCTCCCTTGCTAGAAATATGTGTTAGTAGGTCAGCGGTTGCATAACAGCTCTTAGGCTGCCTCGTCACGTTGTTGTCCTCTGTCTCTCCGCGCAAGAGTCTCTCTCTGTTATTAGTCCCTCTCTTTCCCCACCCCTCCATCCCTATCTCCACCTCTGCTCCATCATGCAATCCCATTTCTTTTTATAACTTGAATGCATGTTACATAGACATACATCATATTACTGAGAGGTCCGATAATAGCATGCAACAGCATGTCCTTGACCTGTGCAAGTGTACACTCACTGTTGCTCATTATAGCCTTTGTTCCTTTTATCATGGTTAATCAAGCAAATTAAATAAAATGTATTCTGAATATAGGCTACTTCTTCTTTCACTATTTGCAAGCAAACTTTTGGAAATAACCTCAATGTGAACAGTTGAAACATTTTAAAGGAAATAAAGGAATTAATAGCAGACAATAAGGCCATATCATTTTGTGATCAATTTGTTTGAAGCTGCCACTGTGGAGCTACTGGACATATTTAAATCATGTGCATGTAAAACATCAGAATTGAACTATGATGTGGAAGAAGTCTGATCTTTTACTTTATTAATATTACAGTGTGTTGCACAGTGTAATAATGCTCTGAGTCCTCCATTCAAAATGTAACTTAAGTAAAAGGCCAAAAAGGCCAAAAAGGATCAGCATCAAAATATTCTTAAAGTTTATCATTAGTAATGCATGATTGTTTTAACTTAAATGTTGCAGCTGGTAAAGGTGGAACTAATTTAAACACTTCACATACTGGCAGTCACCATACATAATAAATATTCTATTATTAGGTGATTTGCAACTTGTATTAATTACCTCAATCACTTAATTTCAGCATTCACTGATTTTAGCATCAAGGTCATTAACAGTAGGATTCATTCTGGTTTATTAAAAAAATGTTGTTTTGATACAATTGCAAAATGAGTTTGGCTTCTTATTTTTCTCACTCATTTGGGATAAATATAAGACTATGTGTCAGCAGTGCATCACCGTGTGCAAAAGGACGGGATAGGTCATTGGGGACTGTTTAGAGAAATGCAGAGTGTATGTGGTAACAGTTATAATACCTCAGCAACCCACTTATTACACTGCTAGATTATAAAGCATGTTGAATATTGGATGCACTGAGGAAATATTTTTGCCTCAGATCGATCGTGTATCGGTTCAGATCACAACATTTTAATGTTTTTGCACTGTCGAACAGAGTTTAACCCTTTGTTTGATTAATATGGTCTTTATTGTAAACAATAGAAATGTGGCCATGATCTGATATTTGTTGGTAATAATAACGTACATTCAGTAACAACAGTAGAATGAATAAATACTGGATTCTATCTAAGCTCATTTGAATATAATTTTCTTTTTTGAAAAACCTAATTAAAACACACATTAAAACTATAGATCCCACACTGAAACCGCATCGATGCAAAGCAGCTTGAACCCACTCCCTTTTGTGTGTGTTTTTAATGTCAATTATTTATATTTTTTGTCCTTTGTTTGCACTTTTTTTGTAAAAGATTAACTACATATTCTTTTAAACATATCTGTTAAATTGAAGGGATACACCTAAATCATTGTCACTATCCATGGCCATTACAATTAATATAAAACATGGATAATCTCTAATAAAACCTGAATTATACCATTGTTTTTTTGTTTATACCCTTACAGTCAATTTGTTTATGTTTAGTATCTTTTGGTGTATCTGCTTATGTGCTTTTCTATTATCCCATGAAGCCCATTGTCCTCTTCATCACTACATTTCATGAGCAGTTGCGTCAGCCCTGTTTTGGTATCAGACACACATCCACTTCCAACCCACTTTCTCACTCACATCCCTTCCCCCTACCTTGACTCAAAACACACATGCACTAATTCACCTCACCCACCACCACCACCACCACCATTAGACCATGTTGGGGGAAACAGTGGCCTTGAACTTGTCTAGCTCCTTCCCCCACCAGTGCTCTGTTTTCGCCACCAACCCCCAACGCACTGCTCCATCTCTTCAGCTGCCTCTGCATGCAGGCATTCCCTTGGCAACTGTGGTTTGGTGGTGCCTGCCTAGCAACCAGAAGGCTCTCGCTTCTGCCTATAAGGCTCGTGGCATGGGGGGGGTTGGATGAAGATTGATTGCAGACAAAAGATCTCATGTGTATCTCCTGTCGTCATCCGGGGTCTCTGCTGCAGCGGTGTTACCTGTTTAACCTCACATGGTGGCATTAAATATTATAATATATAATAATCGTCATGCCATTTTCAAGCTCCTTCCTTGTTCTTGGAATTTTTGTTTTTTGTTTTAGTAAAGACAAAGGTCATTTAAAAGTGGTAATGCTTCACTTCCAATTTAAAATGACATCCATAGCTTTTGTCTGTGTGTGCAGAGTGTGTTGCAACAGCAGCAAGCACAATGGAGGAGATGACCTCTGTAATAACACTTTGAATGAGTGAGTGAATGATCAATGATGATAGACACCTAGCGCCACCTGGTGTTGATAAAAAAAAGACTGAAAACTGAAGAATGTACCTTTTAAAGAATAATGGCATTTGGGTCAAGGTTAATCATATTTTTAGCCAAAAATGAATAATTGTGTGTATGTTTTGTGGCTTTTCTGGCCATTGCTTACATAATCTATTTCACAGCAGCTCACCTGATGTCTATCTGCAGATTTATGCTCCATCCAGGTGTTAATGGATTCTGAACCTGTATCCTTCCCCTACATGAGGTCCAATCAGTCTCCACTGCAGCTGCCTCGATGCTAAAAATAGCTTTCGTACTGCTGACGTGAGTGATGACTCATGCAGAGTCTCACATCTCTTTCCGCATCCCTACACCACTCCCCTCTCCCTGGCACTGTCCGACACCCAACTCACCCCCTCGCAGGGTTGCCAACTTTGGGTACCTGGCTGGAGTGAGATTTTGATATCATGGGTTTAATTCGGTTTAATTACACATATGCGCACGAAATGACTGCTATCGTGTCAGCAGCGAGACCTTAGCATATATATAGGATATATATACAATATATACAAATACACAATAATGGACACAGACTATAAAGGGCACACAGTTTCATTCACTAATGAAAGTCAAACATGTTTGTTTCCACTATTTTATTGTGTGCCTGTCGCGATAAGCAATTAATTGACTTATCGTACGATAAATAAAAATGAACTCGATAACTTTTCTGACCTCGATAAATTGCCATTTACATGAGGATGTGACTAGCAGTTTGAAAGGATGTACTTGAATTATTATTATATATTATCATTATGTCAGTGGTCTAAAATGGTCATACAACGGTGCCGACAATATTATCGTTTATCGCAATAATTTCCGGGAAAATGTATCCAACAAAATTAATTATCGTGAGAGGCCTATACATGAAACACACACACACAAACAAATCTACAGACTTACTCCAAACTGCCAAATATATTAATTAACACACTCTCACTCTCATATACTCTTTGACTCTATTTTGGCCTAGTAGAACAATAAGCAGCAGACTTTTACTTTTTTATCATTTCTACTGGATCTTAGATCTGCAGTTGCAGTTGCGGCTCCAGAGTATTTTTGTTGGGTAATCTATGGTAGGGCTAACCCATACAGTGGTGGGGCTCAAGTCAGTATTTGCAATGTAATTACATACACGCTCCCCCCGACAGTGAAACGCCACGCGTGAGGTTTAGATTATTTCCCTGTCTCTCTCAATCCAAATTGAACTGTATGAAATAAAAAGGCACATTTGTCTTGTAGTAAATAAAAAGGGCGACCTGGAGCCAATCCTGCAATTTCCCCACAGGTGAAAGAGTAGACATGCTGAAAACCCAACCCCTGCAGGGGGGTCTGGGGGGATTCTCCCCCAGGAGATTTTTTTAAATACTAACATCAAATACACATTCTGGTACTCTCTTGAGAAGAAAAATAAATAAATCTATTACTACATATTTAAAAAAATGAATGCCATTTTAGTTTTGTGTTACTTTGTTCTGAAAGCTGAACCTGCTGCTCCTCACAGAGAGAAGAGGGAAGAGGCTGTGTGAATTACTTTACATTGTGGATAAGGGTGGATAGCCCCCATTGTTCTGTGTGTCAAAATGTAAGACAGCCCACACACCTATCAATGATCAAACCGTGGGGTCTTATTTCATTACGTGTTGATTTCTATCAACACGTAATGTTGTATCGATGATATGAGATGTACTACCGCAAAAGTATTCTCCGTCGGGACTTCCTGCAACAACACCACGCCGTTATCGTGATTCTGATTGGCCAGAAGACATTATCAAAGATGTTCTAATGAGAAGACGATCACTACGTGACAAAAGTTTTCAAAACCGTTTCTAGTCTTCGTATTCTTGTTTTTGGCGTGAGAATAGTTTGGGCAGCGTGAGAGCGTGAGATTGAGAGTGAAAGCGTGTGTCACACGCCAGATGCGTGAGAGTTGGCAACCCTGCCCCCTCGGCATATATCAGTAACCTTCATTCAGTTATAGGGGGTGCTGACGAAAAGGTGGTTTGTCCAGTTTTAAAGCATTCATTAAAGAGGGTTATAAATCATTCCAGCACAAAAGGAAATGTGTGACATATACATACTCTTGCGCAGTGCACCTCTCCTCTCAGTGACTCAGAGCTCTCTCTCGGCCCCAGCTTGGTCAGCTTTCTACTTTTACCCCAGCTTCTCCTTGCCTGTGCAATCTAAACATAGCTGAAAACATAACTTTAGTGCATATTTACAGATGTAACTCTTGAATACTATGTATGGCCTCTCAAACAAAAACAGCATCTAAGTTATTCAAAAAGATTTCAATCTCAAAGACAGTGTAAACTCTATCACAGCGAAACTAATTGCAGATGGATTGTAATGTTAAATATACAAGAAGAAAATCGATCACAACAGATTTACCTAAAATACACTTTTATTTCCAGGTTCATTTCATTTATAGAAATCAGATACAGTAAGCAATATTAAGATCACAAAAACATAAAAGCTTTACAGTCTTTTTCTTTTCTTTAGGACAGCATATGATATTGATATAC